GAATAAATCTGTTCCAAGTCTTCCACAGAAGTTTCAATGCTCTTGACCCTGACCAGACACTTAGATAAGTAYTTGTTTCATGCATATTTTTTTGGTAGTATTTTTATGAACATACACTTTTAGTCCTGCAATTCCAATTGTACAGACTCTAAATTAATTAATAATATTAAGTGACAGAAAAAAAGTAAGGACCTTTCTTATGAAAAAGTTAGTCTCAGTTACATTTAAAACACTGTATATATATATATTTTTACTTTGAACTGAAAAATAACCTAGTAACATTCTTAAAAAAAAAAGTAAAAATAGAAATTAGTATATCTAGTCTTTGCAATAATTTGGTAGAATAGATTGTAGTTGTGACATACTGATGGCTGACACAGCAGGCAGTGGATAATGCTGTATAACCAACATTTTTCCTATTTCTCTCAGCAGAAATAAGGACTGCATAAAACTCTCTTGTCTACTGACAATGCTGATGGGAAATGTGGTAGCAGAGCTACTGTTTTCTGTGTATGAAGTAACGTTATAGACGTAAACAGACAAAGGAAGCTTTTATCTCCATTCTCTCCCCAAAGCACACAATTAGTCTGTAAGTGTTTACATTTCTATTGGGCATTGTTTTATCTACTAAAGAGAAAAAAGTCTTCAGCAGAAGAGGTAATCCCTAGGRTAGGAGGGTTATGTTTCACTATTACATTAGAACATATTGGAAATTTTTTTTCCTGTTATAAGGGGATACGATCTTTTTGTTTTATGTCATAACTTCGTACCTTCAATCATAGGAGGTCACTAAAGGAGTTCAGATATCTTGCACAAGGATGGAGTTTCCCAGGAGAATGGTTTGTGAGCAACATATGTAAGTTAGTGTTTAGATCAAGTGTGTCACCACACACGAGTAAACTTGCAAAGATGTGTGTGATAAATAAATTGGGGGGAACAATCTGTTACAGAGGATTATCTTTAGACCCTCAATTCTAGCACTGGGATTACTACATTTTGTTCAAATGGCTGTGTATTACAGTTATACACAGGAGGATTTAAGAGAGTAATATTATTTATTCCTGTTTGCATGCTAAGAATAAAGTGTATAGTAATTTTTTTTTCCTCTAAATTGATGGCAGAAGGAAGGATGAATATATTATTAGTCTATTTCTGTTTATTTATACTAAAAAATCCCACTAACTTCATGGCAAACTTTCACTTAAGAACATATGGAAACTTGGTGATAGCAGTGGGAATTAAATTTTTTTGGGGGTGGTAAAGAAAATTTTTGTGAGGACGTATCAGTATTGCGAATACTGAGTTTGTCCATGGATGTGGAATAACTTGCTGGCCCTGCTATTTTTCTTGTTAAGTATTCTACTAATATACAAAGAGACTATCTCAGAAAATTGGTTCAATTTAGTCCTCCTCTGAGATATAAGTGAGCCCACAGCTTGAAAATATTGACTTGGTTTCTTCTGGCTCAAGAATTAAGCTACCTACCAGGAAGGCAAAATAGAGATACATGTTTCTAGCAGTTTAAATTGATAAAACTGTTCTGCACACTACTTTTAATAGTGTTCTTTAACAATCTATGAATTGATTCTTTTAAGGAACCGAAATCTACTACCAGGGCAGGTCAACATATTAATGTTTGTCCCAAATATACTTTCAGTAGAAACTTTATAAACTAATAGATATATATTCAACAGTATTTGAAAAGATAAGTAGATTATTGAAATGCAGTATTTGTCAAATTTTTCATTTTATGAATGCCTGTTTCAGAAATTCATTACTAARTATAAGGTCCTGCCTGCATTTAGGTAGCAACAAGCCTCTGCAGTTCTACAGGCTGAGCAAGAGCAGCCTGGCCTGGACCAGCAGTMGGTGGCCAGCAGGACCAGGGCAGTGACTGTCCCCCTGTACTTGGCACTGGTGGGGCCACGCCTCATCAAATCCTGTGATGAGTTTTGGGCCCCTCACTACCAGAAAGACATTGAGAGGCTGTAGCGTGCCCAGAGAAGGGCAATGGAGCTGGGGAAGGGTCTGGAGCACAAAGTCTTGTGGCTGAGGGAGCTGAGGGCGTTTCATCTGCAGAAAGAGAGGCTGAAGTGGAACATTGCTGCTCTGTACAATTACCTGAAAGGAGGCTGTAGGTGGGTGGCAGGCAGTCTGTTCTCCCAAGTAACAAATGACAGGATGAGGGGAAATGGCCTCCAGTTGTGCTAGGGGAGGTGCAGGTTGGATATTAGGATAAATTTTTTCACCGAAAGAGTTGCCAAGTATTGGGACAGGCTGCCCAGGGAAGTGGTTGGGTACCCATTCCTGGAGCATTTAAAAAATGCCTAGATGTAGCACTTAGGGACATGGCTTAGTGGTGGATTTGGCAATGCTTGGGTAAAGAGTTGGAGTTGATGATTGAAGATTTCCAATGTAAATGATTTTTATGATTCTATCTATATCAGCGTTAAGAAAGTTGTGGGAAGCAGGTATGTAGAGAAACACCAATGCCCTAGTTCTGGCTGTGTAAAGAGATTTTCTACTCTGTTTCAAATATTCCTCACTCTGCATTAAGCTGCAGGATACATTGACACTCTTTCTGTGTTTATCCAAGGGCTTTGTACTCTCTCTGGTGGATGATGTACATCCTCCTTGCTATGCTTTTATCCTACATGGGTGCATTTCTTTCCCTAAATTGGTGTTCCTCTAGCCATTTATTTCACTGTTTTTTTCCTTTAGTCTTTTTCCCCATATTATTACATTTCCACTGRCTAACCTATGGTGGAAGAATGTAGCACAGTCCCCACCCTGTGTGTTTTGCAACTTTCATASTTCCGGAATGAAAAATTAAATAGGGGAAAGTATTGCACAAAGCAAATGAAATAAGTTACATGTTTGACCACAGAAGGGTTCTTGAGATGATTTGCAGTATCTTTGGGATGTACACTGAAAATACCCAGAGAAAAATGCTAGTACTTAGCTAGGCTTTCTCTGAAATATGGTGAAGYATGCCACTGTTACATTTAAAATTGATCCAAGAGATGATTTTTCATGCAGSTTTCTGAAATCAATGAACAAGAGGAAGCTGGAGCCAATTTTCTGTACTAATTTTAAGAGCTATGACAGAATCTAATGTTTTGCACCTTTTGTGTATTTTTACCAGTGCCCAGGCTCATGGCAAACCTCCATCCACTTCAGCTCTGCCACATTACCTGCAAAAGGGAAAAATTTCAGTGATGCARTGCTTCTCTTAAAACCACAGTGATAGAAGTCATGTACCTGGTAGAATACTTGCAAGCATGTACACTGTAATATGTACTATGCTTTTCAAAATTTATTTATTTTTCCAGGAAAAAAAAAAAGCCCACCAAACACTTCAGAATTTGTAGTTTTTGAAAGGTTTTCTTTATATTTAAATAACCCATGACAACAGCTCTGGTTTATATTTCTATATTTMTACTACTTTGATTAAATGTTCAAGTTTCCTTTCACACCTGTTAATAAGAAGAGGGAAGATACAAGGAGCCTTTTTATGCTACCACGTTYATGTGGACTTGCACCTCACTGTGAAAAATTCAGTTTAAGTATTGGGATATCCTGCAGAATAAAACGGGTCCTATTTTWAAAAAAATATCAAGTTACCTGTCTTGATTGAAGATATTCTCTAATGATACATATATTTTGATATATGCACAMATTTTTTTCTGGGAAATTTAATCAGAGATTTTATTATTGAGAAAAATTACCTTTGTGTATTTTTTTTAATGAAATGATATTAATTTAGTTTCTTAAGTAATGTTTATATTATTTTCAATTTTTTTTTTTTTACACACAGTTGAGAATCTGCTATGTCTGCTAGGATTTTGAATTGCAGTCTCTAATTCAGGATTTGTCTAGAAGGACTTGTGAGCCAGTTGCATTGAAAGAGTGGGATTTTCAATATTTTTGCCTTATGASTGCAAGGTGAGGGTGATTGCATTTAAGGATTAGAACAAGAAATTGTTTCCCGTCCTTTTCCTGTTAAGACATGCAGCATATTTCTCTTTTCTTTGATCACCATTTCTCTASTGCAATTTGCATTTTTCAGCAAACCCTCTTTCTGCAATAACTGTCCTGAGTTTCACTAGAAACAAGGAAATGCTTGACATTTTATAGAATGTAAAATTGTAACMATCTAATTTCAAATGATTAGGATATGCAAAAAACTTAGCTGTAACAGAAAGTAACTTGTATTTCCTGTAATCCTGAGAGCAGTATTTTGCTGGAATTTATTTTCTACAAGCTTTACAAAACTGGAAGAGTTGATCTTCTAACAGAGATAACAAAGCAGCAACCTTAAAATCAGAGTATATTTTATTGTTGGAGAGAGCTGGCATTTGGTCACTGACTCATCTTTTTAGCTTTTAACTYGGATTCTTTGCATCTTTGTTTATATCTTTATGGTTAGATTATTAGATTTATAGATTTACGGTGATGTTTTACAAGCATATCAGTCTGAAACCATATTTTTTACTCGTGAAAGAATTGAAAGCAATCTTTGAAATGTGTTTACAGCTCACCCAATTATCTTAAGAGCATGTGCTTTTAAAAAATTGCTTCCTCTCTACAAAACAACCTACTAGAAACCTTAGCCTGAAGATGAAAATGGTTCCGACGGTGGGGTTTTTTTTTAAACTTCAATAGATTTATTTTAAAATCTGAGAGATCTTGTTTTCTTTTAAGGTCTGATGATTTACTAGAGCAGTTAACAGGTTTAGTTACGTACAGACACAGGCTGAGATTTATGAACATTTCCCATGTATTGAAAAGACAGCCGATGCTGGACTGCAAAGTTCAAGGCATTACCCATTTTTCAGCACAGCCTAGGTTCCTGCCTAAATTTACCACCTTCGGCTCCTCAGGACATGTTATCGTGCCCACGATACGTCTTTTCTTGTAAATGTGTTTCTGGTTCAGCTTCCTTGCTCCCGAGACTTTTCTATTTTGGTTCCCAGTGTCATGTGATCCCCCTAGCCAGTGAGAGCCCTGCAGAGGGAATGGCAACAGCCTGCTGGGAGCAATGTAAGTCAGAAAAAAACTTTTGGTTTTGCAGTTTCTGTCCCTCACACTCAATTTTAAATGCTGTTTTTACCATGATCCTTTGCTGGGCACAACCAACTGTATCTATTGAAATGCTTGGAAGCTGGGTGTTTTGGTTTGGATTTATTTTCTASTCTTTCAAACATTACTTTTCTTACTATGTTACCTTTTTCCTGTGTCCTGCAGTGTCACTGAGAAGCCTAAAAAAGCAACAAAAAACAAGCCAAAGGCATTGCAAAAGTTGCCTCAAGTATGTTTTACGGTGATTATTTCAGGTCTAGTAGGACTTTGTGTAATGTGTGCTATCGGTGGTGCCATAAATCCTGTGCTACAGTTGAGAGCGACCGGTGTGACCCCCCTGTCCCGTTCCTGAGCCCCTTCATGTGGGTAGGAGGGCAATAATAAATAAAATGATCTGAAATCACATGGTGGTGTCTTTACCCATTGACTGAGACATAATGGGGAAAGGAGTTATTTGAATTAAAAGGCAGTTGTGCACCCAAGGCAGTGCATAGTTTTCTGGTATGAATGAAGCGAAATACTGTATTTTGGTATCAGCTGATGYGGAGCACTACTTACAGCATATGATATTGAAACCATGTATTTAGTGAGATTTATCACAAGGGGTGYTTCCTGATGCAAAGTAAGATTCTTATCTTTCTATTTTTTGACACAGACTCTGAACTCTTGGTTGGTAAAATTGGTTGGTAAAACTCTAAGCTGGTAAAATTTACCTGGTAATTACTGAGTAATGGTTTTGTCTAACTAGTTTTCTTTTTTTTCCTTTGATTTTTGGAAAATCATATTTAACAAAAAATTTTCCCTCATAGCTGTATATATGTATGTTTTACTTATTTCCTGTTTGGGGGGTTTTGGCTTTTCTTTGATTGAATTTTTTTTGATTTTTAAAAAAAAAATTTCTTTCTTCCAAATGACATGTTCTTGCTCTGGAGTATACTTTTAAGTTTTGGAGTTAGCGTTAAGTATTGCTGAGCTTATTTTAACTTTGTCCCTAAGTGATATGCCTTGATATCATATATAAGTTTGAAAACAAGTACTTGGAAAAAAGCATAATGAAATAAGCTGGAATCTATTTCSCTTCATGGCTGATTGCCTGAACCTCAGATGACATCACTTGGAGGTGCAGAGGCCATTACTGCATATTTCTTTATTTTTTGTGTTTTTGACCTRTACCCTAATGAGCAGGTATTAAATGAAGGTGTGTTGGAGGTCTTTCTTCTCTTTCCCCTTCCCCAAATTAATTTTGAACAGAGAAATTTCRCTTAATGGTTACACTGAAGTAGAAAGAGCATGTTAGGCTTCCTGTTCAGTTCTTCTCATCATCATAGACACCGGGAAAAAAGGTTCCAAATTATGTGTTGGTTGAATTGTTGCAATGTCAAAAGTGCAGCAACACCTATGTGTAAATATCTGACTCAGAAACTGAAAACAATTGGAAAAAGCTATATCCGTTATGCAAACTAGATGAAATTTAGAAGCCATTCTTACAGAACTTTTATCTAAAGGTTTGTTTTGCTTTGCTGGCTTTGTTGATAAAACATGAAGCATGTGCAGGACTGAAGATCGTTYATACTGATTTAAAGAGAAAAATTTGTTCCTTAGGTTATAAACGAAGTTCTAACCCATTGTTGCCTATTTGCCTTTKCTTCATGAGTTTGCATGGTACCAATGTACAAATAGTGGGAATTTTGAGATTGCAGCTCAGAGCTGGATTCCCTGTTGCTTCCTACAACATAATGCTCATACTTATGAACACAACTCTCCAGCCTAAGAATTGTGCCAATCTTGAGGTAACTGGAGAAATTGCAATAAYTAGAATATTATGAGTTAAATTAGAAGACCTGTGTTATCACTTTTTCTTTTCCCCCTGCTGGTTTATTTACTTTCATCATGCTCAACTGTCACCATTTTTTCTGAAAAGGAACATACTAAAATATAAAAGGGGGTTGGTGGAATTGGCTATGAGGACAGTCAAAGAGTGGCACATGTTTCCCAGGGAGGATGTGGAGTCTCCATGATGGAGATGTTCAGAACKCAACCGGACCCAGCCCTGAACCCAAGTAAACTAAACTGCTTTGGTGACCCTGCTTGTGCARGGGGCTGTGCTACATAACAGGGACCTGGAGGTCCTTCTGAGCCACAGGGATCCCATCAGTCTTTGAATTCCCCTCCACCATTTGGAGCCATAACAGCACTGCTACTYTGGGGAGAGATCGGAAGTCATATGTAGACTTTAATCTTAGACYGTCACTCTCATATTTTAGACCTTGTCATTTTGCTGCCCCAGTTCAGCCATTAATCATTTTGTTTGGAGTGATGGCCATGTTTRTGTCACTGGCATTGCCCAATACACCCTGACATGCCTGAAATGTCACTGTCCAGCAAGGGATGGCACACTGCAAGCAGCTACTCCAGGTTACTTCTGGCAGCAGACTACAATCCCACATCTTTTGTCTGCTGTCTCCCCAGGCACCACAGTGTGGCAGAATGGTAGGAGGAGACACTGATGAAGAGAATGAGAAAACTAAGGGTAAAATTATTGGGAGTACTGAGGGAAAGGTGCAAGCAGAAAGTAAAGGGACAGAGCCAGGATGGACTGAGTCCTTACACTGAGTCCTTGAATCTTGCTGTGGAGTCTCCAGAAACTGAGGGGGGAAGCGGGAGATTTCACAGGCTGTGGCAAGGTTTGTGGAAAGAGTGGGGGGTGAAACAGATCTCATGGGAGCCCTTGGAGGCTAATGAAAATCATGAAGCCCCAGCCCCATACATTGCATGCAGAGCTGTACTTAGAGGCCTGATGAAGAATGGTGCAAGGGGACATGAGATCATTGGGTAAGAAATGAATGCACAAAAGTAAAGAACAGACAAAACAAAAGTTTCATTTTTTTATATATAAAAAGCAACATTAAATGAACAGGAAATGTGTAGAGGGCTCAATACCTTTCACATTTACATATGGATACAATTTTAAATAAAAATGGCAAAAACTAATAGCTTGACTTACATTTCAGAAAGATTGTTTTAAATCTCTTTCTGCCATAATGCTGTAGGTGATGATTTTACTTAAAGACTATTTATCTTGATGAGATTTGGAACACTTGTGCTGRAAGCAATTGCCAACATAAATCCAAACAGGTGTGACTGTGAATAAATTCAGACTGGAGCTGGAAAATAGATGGGCTCAGCCTTCTAGCAGAGGGGGAGGCTAGGACATGTCCCTGTTTACAGCAGRCACGGGGAGTTGGCTACAGGAGGTGAAGGTTTGGTACCAAGGATTACACTCAGTGACTCTGATGTCTGTTTCCATTTCTAGCTAAATAGTGTAATGGGAATTTAGACACAGATTTTTTTTTTCCCCTGAAGACACATTTAAAAAATATGACCATTTAGTCTTTTTTTAACCTATTATTCTCTTTTATTTTTCTTCTAATTTGGAGACTAGTGCTATAGATGAATATGAAATAAATTTGTGCAATGCTGTCTTGCAGATGGATGTGACCAAGGGTGAAATACTGCTCTTTATTAATTTTAGAAAAAAAAGCCCCACATTCCAAGGAACTAGTAACAGCTCAGTCTGGCAGCATTCAATTGATACTTGCAAACTAGTTGGAGAAGATAAAACTGGAGGAAAAGATTTTTTAAAAAATACTTGGTATTGAATAATTTGCTAGATCTACAAGATACATTTTTGTGGGGGCTAACATTTGTGTATTTTCAGAGTTCTTTGGTTCTAAAAAGCCCTTTTCTATATTGGATGCTAGAAATAATTTTATTTATAATTTCATTGACCTATCATTTGGGTTGTCTCTATTTGTTTTTTTCTTTTTTAATAATTTCTGTTGTTACAATTGCTTACTGCAGAAAAAGAATAGGATCTTGTTATTTAAGTGTGTTCTAAAATGTAAATTGTAAAACTTGGTTAATTTTTTAAAGTGGAAATATTATTTGGTTTTGAAAAGATCTTTTTTGGTACTAAAAATACTATTTGTCCTATGTTTTATTATTTAAAAAGGTTAAATAGTTAAAGGAGAATAGTTAGAGGAGAATAATCTGCAATTAAACAAGACTGGAATTATGTGTTTCTGTTTCAGTTATTTTGTTTTTGAAAGAGTCTAATTACAATGCTGTATAGAGATACTAATTCTGTATCTGTTCCATTTTGAATAGTTTTCATTGACAATTTTTATGGCTTTCAATRGCACAGCAATTACAGGTTGGATCTGCCAAGATGCCTTGCGGATTATCATAACTGTCGATTCAATCTTTGTATCATCTGTGGCAGCTAAACATAAACACCATAAAGCCMAAATTTGTCAGATATGAATTTTGGCAGTTTTGTTGAATCATTTGGTTTGAAATCCAAACCAACAGAAAGCTACATCTTCTTTGTATTTTGTTCTTTGAAACATGTTGGGTAACTTCAGTGTAACTCACTATAGTTTTGCCTTCTAYGTTCTTCAAGTAGAGATAAACTGGCTGTGTCTTCACAAATAAGGTCATTGAGATTCTGTTTTGCAGTTAAACAGTAGGAAGAATTTCACTGCTCATTTTATTGGCTTCATCAGTTTTGAGGTAATGGCCTTGAATGGTGTATGTGGGCTCACATTGCTATATGGCTGTAAATCAACAATTTATTCATTCCAAAATACCATTAATCTCTGACTGTGCTGAGGCTAGTAGGCAAATACATCTGCAACTGTTGTGTTCCCACTATCCTGAGAAATCATTCAATTTCTGCCGGTATTGTCTTCCTCTGGCTTGTCTGTAGGGCGTTTTTTGTACAGGCATTGATACCTTGCTTGGACACATTYGGATGTAAAAGCAACCCTGAACTCTTTATTTCATGCACTCATTAGGAAGACGACGTATTTCACAGGAGAAAGAAGTGCTAATATTTTTGTGCCAGCCAGTTTGATTGTTCTGCTTTGTCAATCTGAACTTTCTGTAATTTAAACTGTTCA